TGAGGGGCGTGTGAGGGGCGTGTGAGGGGCGTGTGAGGGCGCGTGTGAGGGGCGTGTGAGGGGCGTGTGAGGGGCGTGTGAGGGGCGCGTGTGAGGGGCGTGTGAGGGGCGTGTGAGGGGCGCGTGTGAGGGGCGTGTGAGGGGCGTGTGAGGGGCGTGTGAGGGGGGAGATATCTTTATGAGGCGAAACCGGGAGGAGTGTTCAGCTGCCGACTGCCGTCCTAAATACCAAGCCCGCTGAAGGAGGCCCCCCTCTGACGGTTGTATCACGGGGTCACGGGAGGGGGCGCGTGGGTCTGTTAGAGGGTAGGACTACTAGAGGGGGGGCCCACTCCCTAGGACCCTGGGAAGACGTCGGTCGGCAGTATTTGCCAGTCAGCTTCCCCATCCCCTCCTCTCCCTCCAAAATCTTCCCTCCCCTTCACCCCATTAACCACTGTAATGCCTGCCCTGACATGGCGATCTGCCGTACCCCGTCCCCTCCCCCGTACCTACCTGGCGTGGTTGAGGTAGAGTGCCGAGCAGCCGGGCAGGTGAAGCAGGTTGTCAGCCAGGAACACGAGGCTGCATATCAGCATCAGCACGAACACGCCGTTGCCCGTGCTGCCCGTGCTGGGTGCCGCGAGCGAGCTCTGCGACGCCCCGCTCCTGCTTCCTGCTCGGTGTGGGTTGAGGAGGAAGGTCGGGGGAGATGCGGACATTAGCATGCGGAGACTACCAAACATGTATCTTCCGTGGGAAGCATGTGAGCTACTAGGGCAGGACCTATTGCGATTTAAAGAAGATGGGGATAGGACAGAAAGGCTTGGGGCTGCGCGGGGATGCACCCCGCGGGCTGCGCGCTGCGGACGGAAGGCAGCGAAATGAGTTGGGAGGAAGTTGTTCCCCTCCCCAATTAAAGCGGGGAAGCGAACAGTGCGCCGCGGGGGGGAAGATTCATGTTTCACCACCTTGCTGCAGCTCGTGTGGATGGTGGCAAATAACTGACCTCGTTGTATCCAAATTGCTTTCTAGCTGACCGCCCATGTGTATGCGACCCGCCGGGTCAGGCAGACCAACCTTCGCCACTCCGCCATGCAGAGAAGTCGCCGCTTGATGCGGAGCAAGAAACTGTCGCTTTACGACGGTGTGGGTTGCCCGACTGTGGAAGCTTCGGAAGGATGCCTCGGTTGCAGCCCTTCAGCGCAGACGTCCTCCATGTTATCGTTAGCTTATGTTCAACCTTGGAACTGCCATAATGCACAATTGAGTTACATCGATTCGGTGCCAAACTTGTGGTATGGAACATTGGAAGCTCTGACAGCTGCTGCTGCTGGGAAAGCGTATCACCAGCAAAGCACAATCTATTAACCGATTATGAACACGATCTTAATGGGATTTAATTCCAGCCGGAATCCATTAACTGCTCGTCCTGTGAGACGATACGACATGTGTTGTGCAAAAAGGCGCAGTCCGGAGCACAGCAGAGAAAGGACATGGATAATGTGAATCGTTACATTGTTAGGCTAGGAGTAGGGCGTGAACTTCAAAATAACGCAAGCATGCCCGACAACAGAGCAAGCAAACGCGAGTCGGAACTTAGTCGTTATGCAGTCATACTTTTGACGACTTCCTTGATACACATATTTCAAGACTCAAATTGAAATACGCTTAGAGCAAACGACCGAGCATCGACTTGCACTCGGTCGCCACTGACGGCGACACCATAACGGAGAATTCGGAGGTGCAAGACTGGAGCGGAGATGGTTCAAACGAAAACATGACGAACTGGAGGAACATGATGTTACAGCGGACTCCCGCGACGGCAGTATCCCACCCAAGGCAGATGATGCGGTAACGGAAGCGGGCCTCAGGAGATCGCCTGGTAAAACGCTTAACCAGGAGGCTCGGCTCAGTCGTTCGTAATATGTCAATCACAGGATTAAGGAAGGAGGGAAAGATCGGACCGGCAGGACCAGAGTTGAGTCAGTTGGCGTGATCAGAGACGACTCGGCTTGGCTAGCGGCCCCTGGTTTGTAGTTTTATCTAAGGGGCGTCTAGTAGATTTGGTTTAGATGAGTGTGTTGGCGAAGCGAGCCGGCTCTAAGACAAGGGGTGTTGCAATGCCAGCGTACTTGTCTACCCGCACAGCCCAGGGAGCTATGCTGTCACCGACGGTCTTGCGCGGCCCAGTTGGCTTGACCAGGACTGACTAGGAGGGATATGCCTTCACGGCGCGAAAGCCCAGGCTGTGCTGCTTTGGTCCGGTCAACTCACCGCAGGGGTTACGCTCTCGCAGCGTGCAGCACCCAGGCTTCGTGCCATTTGGTCCGTGATTGGCTCCGGTGAAGGTTCCAGGAGAAGAGGAACCTACCGCATATACCAGGTTATTGGCTGGCCCAGGGATCGTGACGACCGCTGACCACTGGCGTCTGGGATTGATCCACGCACAGGAAGCGGATGAAGAATCATGCTGCACGTCGCCCCGGGTGTGGCCTGGGACGAAAAGGTCTGGGAATCGGCTGAAGTATTACGTAACGGAACAGCCACCTGGCATAAGGCCCAACACTGCACTAGTCGGACACATGTTGGACAGGGTCTATGTAGCTACTCTACTAGCCCGGTGGGGGGGGGACTCGGCGCCAGCAGCCATGTGCTAGTGCCCTTCACGAGCAGGAAATCCAGCGGCTGCGGCGGAACGACTTTAGCAGCGCGGAAAGGGAACTGAGGGTCTATGGTGGTGCAGCCTGCTCTGGTATGGCTGTATGGCCGGGTAGTGCAACACCAGACAGACAGCCGACCAGGATACGGACGTCTCCGTGGTGTGGCGGCCGAGGACAGCAACAGCGAGCTGACGTGCCCAGCAAGTGCGAAGATGGTACCCAGGGGCTGCTGAACCAGACGGTATATGCCAAGTGCTGTGGGAGCACTCCAGTGTCGGTGGCTGCAGCCTGTCCCTGGACGTGTTCACCGAGAGACACACACACACATACACACCATGACAGTACCAGGCAGTTTCTTCGCGGCAACCTGGGTCAAGGGTGTGTGGACCCAAGATTGGGCTCCCCGGAGTGAGGGGTGTGTAACGGATAGCCTGCCGCTGAAGGGAGCAAACTCCTTTTTCCACACACCTGGCTATGTGGATTATATGTAAGCCTACACCGGATGCAACAGTGCAGCGTGGTGCAGAGCTCCGTAACTGTCTCGCAGTATCACATCCTCTGACGATCTGTCGCCAAAGGACGCATGCTTCCACCTGCTTCCACCTGCCTCCACCTGCCTCCACCTGCCTCCACCTGCCTCCACCTGCTTCCACCTGCTTCCACCTGCCTCCACCTGCTTCCACCTGCTTCCACCTGCCTCCACCTGCCCCCGCCTGCCTCCACCTGCCTCCACCTGCCCCCGCCTGCCCCCACCTGCCTCCACCTGCCTCCACCTGCCCCCGCCTGCCTCCACCTGCCTCCACCTGCCCCCCCGCCTGCCTCCACCTGCCCCCACCTGCCTCCACCTGCTTCCGGGCCCCAGTTGGGGAAATGAACATCCATCCTGCATCCATGCCGACAGATTAACATGCCCCGGTTCTTATGTTTCTTCTCTACGTCATACAGCATGCATATATACGAACGCGAGAACAAGTCGCTCCAATAGCCGGCAGCAGCAGCAGCTGCCCGGCATGTGTGCCGTCTGGTTTTATGGCGAGTTATGGCACATTGACGTTGTAAATCCGCCAACTCCCAACGCCAAGTGGTGGTCCCGACGTGTGCACCAAACCACGCAGCAGCAGTCCCTGCATACACCCTTGTGATGCAATGGTGATCAATCTGCAGTTGTACATACAACAGCCGGAAACACAACAATAATTGAGTTCAAATCGTGTGGTCGAAATTCCTGTCAAACATTTTGCACAATCTTTCATAAGCACAAGCAAAAACACATTAACATAAATACACATGCACACACACACACACACCCCGACAGCTACGATTCTTACCTCATTTCAGCCCGTCCCCCCTCCACGCACGCAAACACACACACACACACACACACAAATACACACACGTGTACGTCTTAGATCTCATCAAGTAGATGGTATCACCAATACCCCTTCACGCACATACGTACATCTATACACGCAAAGTCCAAACTTCAAATCTTCTTCGGCCCCTAATACCCCAGACAGCATCTACCACCAGCATGCGGTGGAATTACTACAGTATAGGGCAATACAAAATGCCGCGCTTTAGCATGTATGTATGTGCTATGTGTGAAACTGTACGGTTAACTTTATGTATATGTATATGTATACGAAGCTAGCTGGCTAACTAGGTGGGCTTATCTGGGCCACATCTGCTGCACCACCTTGGGACTGTTCCTTTAGGGAGGCAACATCACCTCAATGGAAAACGGAAAGACTCTCTTGTACAGATAAACATACCGACCGACTGGCCTGCTCTACCGCAACATATGCTGCTTCCCTGACAGCCACCACCCTCCCGGCAGCAAGTTTCGAGCCTAACTGCCCAACCACCACCACTAACTTCCCAACCACCACCACCACTACATTAGCGACCACAGCGACCACCAGCAGGGCCCCTAAACACATTAATTAATAAACAGGCGCATTTATATATCGGCAATCATTCGTAAACTCGTACGGCATTCATTCGTTCACACGCTTGTGTGATATGCTCAAGAGCAGCACCTGGTTGAGCTATCCATCCACCAAACACCAGCCACAGCACGCCGACGGGTTGCACCTCAGCCCCAGACACTTTCCGGCTGGTCTCCTGGCCTTTACCTGCCGTACTAGTCCCTAACTCCTCCAACCTCCAACCACCAACCTAATCAAGCTCCCCCCGGTTCTTCCCTTCACTCTTCGCATCACACCATCACCCCTCCAGCCTTCTTTACGGCTGCTCCCCCGGACTGACCGGCTGTCACTCAAAGCCTCCCAGCACCACCAACCCCACTAGCACCCGCACTCACACTCATTGCCCCAGCCCCCGGCCCCCCACTAGCACTAGCACTAGCACTAGCACTGGGCGATCTGGGTGAATATCCGGACAGACTGGGCAGCAGGACCACATTGCGGCGGCCAGGCAGTCGCCCGTCCACTGATAGCCGCGATTGTGACTGCTGCTGCTGCTCTGAAGGCAGCCCCAGGGCTCTGGGTAGTGATGGTGGCGCCGTAGGGTCTGATGTCCCCGCCATGACTCCCAGCCGTGATCGCTCCTGCAGCCGCACCGACTGAGGCCGCACTGCCGGCAGCGACACCTCCCTCCAGCGGCCCCTCCGTGACGATGATGATAACGATGATAACGACACGCTGGGTGGTGGCCACCTGCCCGGGCCGCGTGCACCGTCATCGCCTACCCGCCGCTCTGCCCGCTCCTCCTGCTCCTCACCCTTCACCCCAGCTGCCGCCATAGGCGCCGGCTGCAGCAACCCTAAGGGCGGCTTATGATCACCACCGCCGCTGTTGCCACCGCCTCCAGGTACGCCAGCAGCGGTGGGGCCCCCACCACCAGGGGGCTGGCGGCCCCGCAGCGGTGCAATGGGCGGCAGCTTGGCCAGGATGGGGCGCCGAAGCCGGGAAGATGGGAGCAGTGTGTAGCTGCTGCCCTCCGCCCCCGCCCCCGCCCCCGCCCCAAGCTCCCGCCGTATATCGCCCAGCCTGTGTCCGTTGATGAGCGTCTCGCAGCCCACTTGTGCTCCGATGGCGGCGGCAGTTGCGGCGGCTGGGCTGCCGTCCGGGTTGGCTGGGTCCACCAGCAGCAGCTGGCTGCGGAAGGTGTGGCGGAGCAGGAAACCGCGAATGGCCGCAGCCACCGCCACCGCGGCGTGGTACTGCACAGAGGGCGGGGTGTATGTATGCATGTATGCAGTCAGGTTGGAAACATCCTGTTAGGGGCTCGGGGTTGAGTCCAAATCGATCAGGAGTTTTGGCTGCAGCTCGTGACAGTGACCCGCACCCCCTCACCCCTTCCGTTTCTTCCGTTTCTCCCCTTTCCACCATCCCCAAGCCGCTTAACCAGACATATTAGTCCCAGGTCGTGCCATCCTTCCCCAATTTTCCCCCTCTTCTCCTCTTCTCCTCTCCCCTTCATCCCCCCTTTTTCCCGCACGCACGCACGCACATGTCGAGCTGCATGGTCCCGACAGGGCTCCTCAGGCGGCAACCTCCTGCTCAGCACCTCCACCATGTCGTCCTCTACTTCGGGGGGCAGCACGGCCCCGCACACTGCACCCGACAAGGCGTACAACACCTCAATGAAACACACCTGAGGGGGGCAGGGAGGGAGGGAGGCGGACAGGGCAGGGCAGGAGACGGAGTATGAGAATGGGAGCTGACTGTTTGTTTGAGTGCCTGAGTGGATCAAAGGCCTCAATGAATACACGCGTCCTCAATGAATACATACGCTCCCCCCGGCCTACCCCACACCCCACACCCCATACCCCATAATACCCACCCAAGGTGCGCACACACCTTGTTCCCCGCGTACAGGGGTATGTCCAGCTGCAGCAGCAACTCCTGAGCATCCAGGCGGCAGTTCACCCGCCCTGCCCGGCCCAGCGGCTCCTCCGTGGCCGCCACCAGCGACACCAGCTGGGAGGCGTGGATGAAGCCGCTGGCGGAGCAGTCCACATTCGACCAGGCGTCCACGAAGCTGTCGAAGCAAGTCCTAGGGATGGGCAACCCCGCTTCAGATTCGGCCTGAGTCAGGTTTTCGAGCAGAACCGCAATCACCAGCTGCAACAGAATGAAGGTACACAGCACCACGAAGACGGGGAAGTAGACGACGGCGGCGAAGGGACTGAGGGGGCATTGGTTGTCCGTGGCGTCGGAGGGCAGGGCAGCCAGTAGCGGATCCGAGGGGTCCAGGTACGTGCCGGCGGACAGGAAGACGGTGGTGGCGGCAAGGGAGGTAGGGGTGGAGTTGGCCGGGGAGGTGATGGGAAAGGAAGAGGAGGTAGCGGTGTTGGGGGTTAGGTAAGAGGAGGAGGACGAGGACGAGGAAGAAGGAGGAGGGGAGAGGAAGGGGCCCACGGGAGAGGAGAGAGGAGAGAGGGAGGCTGAGGTTGTGGTGGTTGCGCTGGTTGTGGTGGTGGTGGTTGTAGTGGTTGTTGTAATGTTGATGTCGTGCAGCACCGTCACGCAGTCGCCGGTTCTCATGCAGTCCAGCATGAGGCCGTTCCAGCCCTCGCCTGTGAGCATCCTGTGGGGGTGGGGGGAGAGGGGGAAGGGGGGAAGGGGGGAAGGGCAGGGGTATGAGCGGGATGGGGGAATGTACAATGTTATTCATATGTACGGGTGGAGGTATCACGAGGAGGGGAGGAGGAGGGGGACACACGGTCACACACCGTGCCATGTGACGCGTGTGGCATTGTGCAGGGTGAGGGGGGATAAGGCGTGCGTGGTTGCCAAATCGGGTGCTACCGGGTGCTACCCAGAGCGGCCCCTGGCCCCAACCACAACCCATCCCAACCCCGCCACTACCTGAACAACAGCAGCATTGCGTTGGGGAAGTTGTCGAAGTTGGCATGGCGGTTCAGGTTGTCGCCTTGCTTGATGCCGGCAAACAGGTTGACGCCGATGACGGCGAATATGAAGAAGAACAGCAGCATCACACCACCCACGTTGGCCAGTGCGGGGAGCGAGTTGTACAAGGTGAGGAGCAGCTTCTGCATACCAGTGGCCTGAATAAGCGATGCAGTGATAAAAGGTAACGGGCGGTGAGAAGAAGAAGGAGAAGGAGAAGAAGAAGAAGGAGAAGGAGAAGAAGAAGAAGGAGAAGAAGAAGAAGGAGAAGGAGAAGGAGAAGAAGGTGGTCGTGTTTAGCGAGGGCGACTCAACGGGAAAGAAGTACACAGACGGCAAAAAGGTACACAGACGGCAAAGAAGGCTGAGGCTGTCATGTGCCACTGCCTGAGCACAGAAGAACGGCTCCAAAATAGAGTTCGAAAATCGATCACAAAACACAAAAGGGTGAGGTTACAGTGTATTCTAGTTTACATGGATCTATAACACACACACTCTTACACACAAACACACACACACACACACACACACACACAACACACACACTCTTACACACGCACACACTCTTACACGCACACACACACACACATCACGGGTGTGCTACCGTTGGACCGGTGGCACGGAGCTGTACAGAGCACAGACACGTACATTGCGGACGAGACGCACCACTCGCGCCACCCGCAGCACCCGCAGCAGGGGCATGAAGCTGACGTTGCGTGTGTTGCTGTAGTCCAGAGCCACCGACGCCACGGACACCAGCACCACGAAGCAGTCAAAGCAGTTCCAGCGGTCGCGGAAATAACCCAGAGGGCCGAACGCGGACAACTTGAGAAGTGCCTCCACCACGAAGATACACGTGAACACGACATTGCTGTACGACATGAGATCCTGAGGGTACGGCACATGTATTAGTGTATGTGTGTGTGGGAAGGCCCAACCTGTGCACAATCGAGATGCTCACACGCTCGCCCGTACCCTCTAGAAAGAGAGATCTCAACAAGTCCTCATCAGATGAGACTCACATGCGAGGTGGGTCGTGGTTCACCCAGCCGTCGCAGTACATCGTACAGACGAAGCAGCCACTCCCATCCCCATCCCCATCCCCATCCCCATCCCCACACCCGTCAAGCTTTCTTTCCTTGCGGCCACCGCAACCCCTAGGTTACCTCCTCCCCCTGAAAGCTCCCCCCCCTTCCCCTTCCTTCCCCTCCAAGATCTACCTGCCATGTAGACGACATGCCCACGTGCACCATAGCCATCAGCACCACATTACACACGATGACCACCAACATGAAGGCGTCGAACAGCCGGTGGGACACCGCGATGTACAGCAGCAGGCGCACGCGGTTGCTGGGCCGCGGCGGCTTGTACTGCATGCGTGTACGGAGCAGCAGCATCTGCGTATCCACCCAGGCCTGCTGGGCGGGTGTTAGGTCAACAGACATGGCCGCCTTCTCCGCATCATGCAGCTCAGCGAACTGGGGGGATGGGGATGGGGATGGGGATGGGGATGGGGATGGGGATGGGGATGGGGATGGGGATGGGGATGGGGATGAAAGCCAACACAAGCACTTGGTGCAAACGGAAAGACATAGCTGCCAATATCCCAATCCCCCGGTGGTGGTTTGAGGGGGTGAAGGCGACCAGGGGGGGAAGGTTCGGGGTGTGGTCGTGCAAGTGGGGATTGGCAAGTAGTCCACCATATAGAGTTACTGTCTACCGCATGCGGGATACTGCCCTAGGCAGGTCCCTCTAGCACCGCACTGGCCGCAAGGGCCGTGCAGCCGTTCTTGCAAGTACTGCAAAAACATACGATAAGATGTACACACAGCTATCGTATACCTTCTCCAACGTGACGCCGATGAAGAGGTTGAGCACGAAGAAACTGCAGACAACGATGAATAGGATGAAGAGCAAAATGATGAGCGGGCTGTGGTTCCATAGGGGCTGCTTGTCCGCACCCACGGCGTCCACGGCGGAAAAGGTGATGTCCACCCACAGGGAGAGTGTGGCGGCCTGGAACAACGTCAACAGCGCCACGCCCACGTTGTCGAAGTTGTTCGCGGCGTTGACCCACCTGCCGGCGTAGGGTAGCGAGGGGGCGAGATAGGGGCTCGGCGGGTTGCGGTGGCGAGAAAGGATCGGGTTTGCATCGCTTGGTTTAGCTATAACACATACCTGACCGGCAAGCACAGGACCAAGTTCTCCAATAGCTATAGAAAGGATAACAACACCACGACCACATACTTTAAACAAATCGGTTTGAGCACTTTCTTAAACAGTAGAAGACCAATTGCGCCAAATTAATGATAAGCTAGTTCCTCCTCAGCGGGTACATCCTCTGTGTATTGCGATAGAACGCCAAGACCCCGGCAGGAGGGAGAGGCATCGGAGTTGCTCTATGTAACAAGGTGGGGCGGGTAGGGGCGGCACGGAAGCGAGCTTGGGGTGAGGAAAGAAAGCAGACACCCCGCACCGCCTCCCGACTCTTCCAGCCGTCAAAGGCATCTTGGGAGGAACAACACTACTACAAGAGCCCGGATGACCGCCAGGTTCTAACCACCAAGGTTTGGAGCATGGCATAGTATGGCAGGGCATGGCAGGGCAAGGGGCAAGGCGGATAGCGCCACCACCCGGATCACATGTGACGGCAACAGCTCCGACAAGGACATCCATCCTGCCAGCGGGTTACTTCCCACCTGATGGAACCCATGTCCATCTCTCCAGCCGCCACCACCGTTATTTCCCCCCTCCCCCCTCCCCCCGACACACAAACACACAACCCACACACACACCACTTACTGCGTTAATATCGAGTACTCCGGCATGGATACGTTGAGTGCGCTGTAATACGCCGACTGGGAGATGGTCTGGTTGCCAGCTTCACACCACGAGCGCGTCAGCTGCTGACCGTACGGCAGTACGTAGTACGGATCAATCCGCTCCCCACTGGCCGCATCCACGCAGTTGTACAGCTTGCCCTTGAACAGGTTGACCGCCAGGATGGCGAAGATGAGGTAGAAAAACACGCACACCAGCGCCACGTTCAACATGGCCGGAAGCACCGCGAACAACGCATTCACCACCACTCGCAGCCCCGGAAAGCGCTGTACTGCCCGCAGCGGCCGCAGCGCGCGCAGAGTACGCAGCACGCGCAGCATCTTGACGTTTTCCGCTCCCACTCCAATTACCTCCACAATGATGAACACCCAGCCGACCAACACAATCAGCAAATCCAACACATTCCAGCCGTTGCGGATGTAGGCGTGCCTGCCAGTGAACGCAAAGCCAAACGTCACAATCTTGAGCACGGCTTCCAGTGTGAATGCACCGGTGAAGATGTAATCCAAGATGCGCAGCGCCAGCGCAAGTCGAGATTCCGGATTTAGGGAGGGCGCATCCAGCACCAGACACACGCACGATGCCAGGATGAGCAGCAGAATGACCGCCTCGAACCAGCCGTTGTGGACTAAGGTAGCCGCACCGTGCCGCAGCCAGCTATTGTGCCTAAACACCAGCAGCGAACGGCCCTGCACCGCGCCCTGCCAGACCGGGCCCACCGCCGCGCGCCCCTTCGCCCCCAGCTTGCTGCTGAACGACTTGAGGTGTACGAGCACGGACTTGGAGGATTGGCGAGGGATGCGGCTCTGGGAGACCTCCCTGCGCGGACGGGGATGCTCCGGATGTGGCCAGGACGCCACCGACACGTCACCCGCCGCCTCTAACAGGCCTGCAAAAGCCGCAAGGGAGATTTCTCGCTGATGGGACATCCCACTCATCATCGGCCCATTATCAGCCCCATCTTCCTGGACCCTGGCCCAGCCATCCTCCAATCCCGATGGCTCCTGCTGCTGCTCCTTATCTTTAGGTTTGTCAGATGTGCTAGTTGGCGGTGGCGGCAGCGCTGCAGCCGAGTCGTCCCAACGGACTTTGGCAGCTGTGTGGACGGAGCCGCCCGCCTCCTCCTTACCCCCCTTCAGGCCGCCCTTGCCCCCGTGGAGTGCCCGCGGGGAGGATGCTGCACCACCACCACCAGCCCCACCACCAGGCGGCGGCGCCACCTCAGAAGCCTCCGCCAGCGCCGCAGCGGGCGATTCCATCTGCCGGGTCGGCTGGCAAAAGGCCCAGGCGTGCATATCAATAGTCACGCGCATTGCGGATTCTGCTGTCTCCTTTTTCTCCGCCGCCTCCGTTTCGTCGTCCTCCTCTTTCCCTCCCGTGACAAGTCTCCCCTCGGCCACAGGCACTGCAGTAGCACCACCACCACCACCACCACCAACGGGATTGGCCGCCGCGGTAGCAGCAGCCCCTGGTGGAGACCTTCCACCGCCGTCGCCTGGTGGACCCTGAGGTGCACTGGACGAGCGTACAGCAGCCCCTGGCTGATGACCTAAGGCCTTGCCCAGGCTCGGGCTGGAGTTGGGGCTGGGGCCCTGCTGCTGCTGCTGCTGTTGATCCGTTCCAGTCTCAGGCTCAGCGGCTGCTGCAGGGCTGCCGGCCCACTCGTCACGCTCTGTACCATCGCCCCGGCTGCTTAGACTCGTCCTCTGTCGTCCTCTTCCTTCTGCTGCTGCTGACCGGCCGCTGTCGAGCTGCCTCCCCCCAGCTGCCTCCGCTGCGTCCGTGACCCCGCCACGGCCGCCATCACCACCGCCGCCACTGCCGGGCGGCAGCTCGCTCGGAGCTGCGATTGAAACTTGGCCTGAGCTGGAGGTGGTTGAGTTTGTTGAGGTTGTGCCGTCCGCACGAGCCTCGGAGTCCTCGGGCGGTGTTTCCTCGACCTTGACACTCAGGTTGTCCAGCAGGATGGCGATGAAGAGGTTGAAGACCAGGTAGTTGCCGATAACGATGACGGCAACAAAGTACAGCGAGGCCCACTGGGAGACGGTGCGCATGCCATCGTACATCATGTCGTTCCTGAAGGGCCGGCCAGCAGGTAATGAAAGATTGATGGGTGCTGTGAAGGCTGTTCCAGGTGGTGCCGGATGTCGCTATCATGTCGCCGAGGCAGACAGAAAGCCCAAGAGGCCGTGTTGTTAAGAGCAGCTGTAACCTGACCCTGTAATCCACAGGCCAGACCAGGGCCAGGTCCCGCCTTCCCTCACCCTAGTTCCAGCTTCCCAACCCCGCCATTGGAAGTCCTTAATGGTTCACCTCGTCTGTACAGTTCACACGTACCTCGGCAGTTCAGGCACCAGGCAGCAGCAGTTTATCCTCCCTCCCCTCCCTCCTGGCCCCCGAACGCAGGCAGACAGCCACTCACCAGTTCTCTCCAGTCAGCACCTGAAACACCGAGTACATGGCCCAAAACACGTTGTCAAAGTTGGCCCTGGGCACCTGCGACTTGCCCACCATGGCCAGGTACTCGCACCCGCCCAAGACCGCCCCACCAGACACCGGGCTGCCGGACGTGGTGTTGCTGCCGTTATTGCCGTTGCTGGCATCAGCTGCCTCTGCCGCCGCGGCCTCCGCGTTATCGCAGAAGCGCTCGCAGTAGGCCAGGCCGTTGTAGAACGACCCCGGCGCCTCCACCCAGGCTCCCAGCTGGTCTTCCGCGCAGGGCAGGTAGCAGTGGAAGTGGTTGGGGCACTGGCCCCACACACGGTGACCCGGCGGACACACGGGGCGGGAGCCTGACACGTAGTCACAAAACATGAACCTGCGAGGGGGAGGAAGGATCGGGGAGAGGGCGGCCGGGCGCATGAGGGAGGGCCACACGGGGGGGCATGGGGGTCAACCCCCCTACGCACCTGCCGCTGTCGTAAAGTACACTGCCCATACAGGGTTGGCGGCAGGGTGAGGAACACGAAGAAAAATATCATTGTTGCACAAGGGGAAAACAACGCAAGCTCCTTCCTCCCTCCCTGCCCCTCTCGGCCTCCCACACACATGTTTGGGCCAGCAGTGTCTTTCCTTCCCTCTCTAGCCGTTCCCACACCCCTGACCACACAGCCCACACAGCAATAACCCTTGCGCTCGGCCACCCCCGGTTGACCCCTCCTCGCCCCTCCTCGCACTACCACCCATTCTACACCTACCAATTCCTACACCTACGCACCTACGCTGACCCACACAGACTGAGAACCCCTCACACAACTCACTTGTAACCAAAGAGCTCTCTGCCCAGGAGCGAGGAGATGAAAAGGAACAGCAACATAAGGCCCACCAACATGATGGACGCCTGTACCGAGTTGTACATGCCAAGAATGATGGCATTGAACTCCCGCCAGTTCCTAGCCAGCCTAAAGATGCGCAGCAGCCGCAACGCCCTCAGCACCGACAGCGGCCCCGCACCGGACAGGCTGGGCACCAGGTCGATGATCATCTCTATCAGCGACACAGCCACCACGATAGCGTCGAAGATATTCATGCCCTGACGGAAGAACCTGCGTGGGTGCCGTACATTTAGGCCGTACAAGCCAAGCAGAAAGGCGAAGAAGATCGGCGGAATGGCGTCATCCCTCTCCTTGAAAGAGAAATCTCCAACCTGGCGGATCTCCTTACGCCCAGCCCCCAACTAGACCCAGGCACCTAAAGCCCAGGCACCCAGGAACACCACCGGGTGGGGTAAGCACCGCCTTACGTTAGGTTAGAATCAGAACCGCGTCTTGGCCACTTCTTGGCCTGTTGTAGGAGGAGGTGGAGAGGGGGGGCCCCGGGAGCGGATACCACCAAATTCCGCTACCCATCAACCGCAGTCGCCTACACGACCCCCACCTCAACACGCTCAGCTACCTACTCCGGCAACTTACATGTTCCGCCCGTCAACCGGTGACCAGTGCCGTCACAATCGATGGGATCGCATAGAGCAAAAGCTGTCCCCCCGTTGTGTCCCTTATCCAGGGCCCCCCACCACCATACATACACACATACACACCTACATACACACACGAGCTCACCGGACCCAACCGAACGCCGTAATCCGAAGCGCCAGCTCCACCGCGAAGTAGCCCGTGAGGCCGTAGTTGATGTAGTCCGTGGCCCGCTCCACCTTGTACGGCATGCCGTACCAGTTGACGCACATGACGGCTGTGTTGACCAGGATGAGCGCCGCGGTGGTGAGCTCCATGCCCCTGCTGACGGCCACACGCCAGGTCAGGCGCCGCAGCCGACCCAGGTCCGGCGGGGGGGGACTGCCCGTGGCGATGGTGGGATCCTCATCATCCGTGGCCCCCATCTTCCGCATCTGGAAGGCACAGAACCACACAGTACAGACAGGCAGACAGACAGACAAACAGGCAGACAGACAGACAGGCAGACAGACGGATAAGACCTAAGTGCTCCTCTTATAGCCGCGGAACGGTACGCAATTGCCCGGGGCAGGAGGGCAGGTGCCCCCGCGGGGGAGGGGGAGGGGGAGGGGAAGGGGGAGGGGGAGAGGCTGCAGTGCAGAACCCCGGCGCCGGCGGCAGCAGTCAAACCCTAGATAGGTACGAAAGCTACTACGGGGCAGAATGCTCCCAAGCATTCCACACCTCGGTGGGGCCCCCTTTTCTCCCTCTCCCTCTCCCTCTCCCTCTCCCTCTCCCTCTCCCTCCCTCTATGTCCTATTTTCCCCCTTCATAACGCAAACGTGCCTGACTCACTCTGAGTTTGGCCATCACGTTGTACAGGGATAAAGGCGGCAGCTGCCCATCGCCCTCCTCCTCCTCCTCCTCCTCCTCCTTGCCATCCAGCCGGGCATCCTTCCCGTTCCTGTTCTTCTCACCGGCAGCGGCGCCAATCCCGTCCCTGCCGGCTGTATCAGGTTCAGCAGCTGCTGCAGGAGCGGAAGTATCAGCCCTGCCCGGCTGCCCCTCCTCCTGCCCCCCCTCCTCCCCCTTCAGCTGCTCACGCAAGTTGTCCGTGGAGAAGTTGACTGACAGCACCGCCAGTGCCAGATTAATCTGCACGGTCAGGGGCAGGGCGCAAAAAGAGGGGCGGAGTCGGGGGTCGAGGAATACGTGAGAAAGGAGGAGGGGGAGGTGGTGCCGGGGGTCAATGGGGTCGTGGGGGCACCAAGTGAGGAAGAACACAACAGACCAGGCAGGTCAGGTCAAGTCAGGGTACGGCAGGCCAGGGTACGGCAGGGCAAGGGCAAGGTAGGGCAGGCCCCAATCTGTGCGGCCGGAGCAAAGCAAGGTATGGGGCTACTAGCAGCTGGCACCCCATGTTGATGCGAAGGGATGTCGTGTCGCCCCGTGGCCTGTTTAGGTAACTTGTCAGGTTATCGTGAGTAACAGCCGTGGCCTGTTTAAGACTGCCCATCAGACTTCTGTGAGCAACGGCTGGCAGGTTCTAGAGTACTACCAGCTCGTCCATCAGGATAAGCTTTCCAAGCCTTTATAAGGCATTGCTGTCTATTGGTGATAGTACCTCAGATCCACACGTTTACGCCTAGGTAAAGGGGCTATCGGTGGTAGGTCGCGGATCTCCCGAATACGTGTAACGGCTAATGTCTCCTTAGTCGTGTCTGCTAGGTCCCAGTGAGATAGCGTCTCACCAACACCCCACCTACATCTCGCCACACCGCTCCTCCCATGACGGACGGGCATACGTACATGTCTGCTCCATCGGCGGTTCAGGAGCATCCCGCGCCCCATCTCACCCCGGCCCCACTTAAGCACAATATTCATTGCAGCATAGGACACAGAGCTAAGAGGTAATAAGATAATAATCACGAGGAAGACATAGGAAAGGAGGGCGAAACAGCTGCTGCCGTACAGTGCCGTACCATGAAGAAAGCTCCAAAAATGACGAGGCCCACGTAGAATATCCAGACCCAGTAGTTGACGGCATCCATCACCAGATACATCACATCGCTCCAACCCGATAACGTGATGTGCTGGAAGATAGTGAGCCATGACCACAAAATGTTGTCGTAACTGAGAAAGCCGTTGTACGGGTTGCCGTACCACGTGCAGTACATGCCGCTGTCGCAAGCGCGGCCGGCATACGGCTTGCCTGGCACAGCTTTCGGCCCGTCATTGGACGAGTACCACTCCACCTCTGAGAGAGCCGATGGGGCGGGGCGGGCCGGGGGGGGGGGGGAAGCCGGGGAGGGGGAGGTCACACAGAGACAGGTGAGGACCTGTACACCTAAAAAACCACGGAATTAGCAACCACAACGACAACGACCATAACGAGAACAAGAGGTATGTTGCGTTGCATTTCGTTGCGGGACAACGGACAACGGACAAGTAAATGCGGCGCCCCAATGGAGCGGAAGGGAGCTCGACCGATCCAACCCCAGTTAGCCAGCAGGATGCTCATTGCTGCTCAGGCGACCTCCCGTTCCCTCCTGCCTCATATCCCCTCCCCCTCCCCCCTAGATTCGAGTTTTGGTGGACGTCGATGCAATTGATTTTTCTACTTTTTGCACTAACCTGTAACTCTCCTTCCCCTCTCACCCTCAAACAGATTGCCCCCTTTTTCCCTCCAGATAACTGCTAACCAACGAACTCACAAAGCAACCAACCTACTCACTCACCCGAGCTGAGCGGCCCACTGCACATGTCCTCCGTCTGGTCGTCAGGTACCAGATAGCTCACGTTGGCGACCACCACACCACCGTAGCCACCTCCTCCATGGCCACCTCCATCCGCAATTCCCGCCGTTGTGACGTTGTAGGCGCCGGCCAGATCCGGGGAGCCGCATCTGCTTAGGGTTCAGGGTTCAGGGTTCAGGGTTCAGGGTTCAGGGTTTAGGAAGGAGTATGATACTGGGGGTTGCGCGTATGCAACTGTCGTGGCATACTTGCATATTTACCTTGGGAATTTCCTAGTGCTCTGGCACTTCGCCACTTGGCATTATTGTCTTCGCGCTTGTTTGGTTAACCTATTGGGCACTTGCCTGTCTTTTACCACGCGTGAATTTGGATTATGGCGCTCTCGCTATAATCGTGATGACACTGGTAGACCCACTTGGGTTACGATTGCACCGATTGGTGATGACAACTACATTCCCGGGTCGTACAGATTGCTGTACAAGTCGTCATGGTCGCTGAGGCATTTAGTCTCTCTTCATTCACTAACCGGCAGTTTTCACTACCACATAAACTGTGGAGGTGGATACAACCCAGAGGGGTATTCGATTTAGGACAGGTAGGGGTTGCCTGATTTGGACCTCCAGGCCCTAACCCCACCCACCCACCCAGTTGCTCACCCAGCCGCTCACTCAGAAGATAGACAACCCTTCCCCGGCAACCCCCCACCCACCCATACAGCCTCAACAGCCTCGTGGCATCTCCCCCCCCTTCCCCCCCTCTCCCCCCCTCTCCCCCCCGCCTTCCCCCCCACACCTGTTCCTGAGCACCCCGGCGAACAGCTGCACCGCGATGATCCCGAACAGGAAGAAGGTGAAGGTGCACAGCACGAACACGTCGAACAGCATGGGCAGGGAGCCGATGATGGTGGTCACCAGCACCTGATCCAGGGAGGAAGGGGGAGGGGGGAGGGGGCCGGCGGGACATAACCAACAGCACAACCGGCAGTAGCAGCAGCGGAGCAACAGCTGGTAGAGTTTGCCGCAGCACAAGGGGAGGGAGCGCACCGTACCCAAAGGGGCAAGGCCAAAGAGCGGTGGACAAATAGACAATCCTTGAGGTAAGCAGGCAGAGTCCGAGCTCCGAAACCGTTGAGGAGGCTATCCTTGGCGGTTTGCAAAGGGTGTTGTAAGGGTGGTGATTAAGCCCGCTGGTTGGCGTGTTTCCATCTGTCTTCTCCGTCGTTTACATCGTTTCCATCAACTGCGGCGTGCTCTGGTAGAAGATATGTCGGCTGCACTATCTATGGGCTGTACTGCCATTGGCTGCTGTTGGTGCCGTTAGGCTGCAGCAGGGCGCAAGTCGGTCGGCCCCCACCCTCCGGGACAATGACCTCCCCATACATCATATTTCCCTTCGCCACCCAATCCACTCCCTTTCCTTCCCGCCTACTTCCCCCCTTAAATTTGACTGTGCATATCATTCCCCCTTTTTAAATCCACAACCTGCCCTTCCCCCTGCCCTCCCTCCCAACCCCTCCCGCCCACCCGCATGCCCTTGATCCGTTTGACAGTCCGCAGAGGCCGCAGAGCCCGAATGGTCCTCAGCCCCGTCAAATTCTGGGGGGCCACAAGGCCCACATAGCTGACCACCACAACTAGGAAGTCCAGAACATTCCAGCCTGCAGGGCAAAAGGGCTCGTGGATGGGCGGGGGGATTAATTACTGTAATGGTCGCAACAATGCACGGTGGGAAAACATCAACATGGACTGTTGACGGAGGAGAACGAATAGGGACTGGGGCGAGCAAGGGGACTGGAGGATCAGAAGCTAACTGCAGAGAAGATTGTGCGTGGCGGGCAAGTAGGGAGGAGTGGGCTGCAAGTAGAGGTCGGTACTCCTTGGGGCGGCGGTATGGAGGGGTAGGGGGCCCTAGGTGCTGGCTGGGCGTGGGAAGCGCGCTGTTAGGTTTCCCAGTCGGATGTCCCTTGCTGTTGGATTCTGCCGTACGCTCCCTGAGACCTTCCACTCCTGGGCCTGCTTAAGCAGGAACGTAATTTTATCCGTCGTTTTACGCACTGCCTTCTTCTGTGCCCTCACCGTCGCGTAGGTAGGTGCCCTTCTCAAGCACGAAACCCATGGAGATGACCTTCAGAAGCATCTCCAGCGTGAACACGGCTATGAATACATAGTCGATTCTTGCCACGATTTTTCCCAAGGACGTCTCATCGAAACCTTGCCGGTTGCTGCCAAGTCCCAGCGTGACGCAATTGCATATAATAACGAAGAATACAAAGTTTTCAAAAAGCCGGTTATGGCTTATGAGAACAGAAGTTTTTCTGAGCCTGGAAGCCTTTCTGAAAATGAAGCAGCTCCGCTCCGGGTACGCTGATGTTAGGACCTACATCAGCGGCGAGATAGACAGCTGAGGCATCTAACAGAAATCAAACTGTCCAATTGCCAATATGCCCACTTCATAGTGCTCTCGCGCCGCATCGCCCGCCGTGCCAGGTTCAGGATGATGCGATGTGGTAGGCGCCACACGTCCCAGAGCATGCTCTTCTGACATCGCAGCACGCAAGTTTACATTTGTATTCTCCACATAGCTATAACATGCTAATGACCTGCTGGCGTCATCTTAGGCCGATACATTTGCATATTCTATGATAACATGTTTGGCTGGAGTCTCCATCTTACAACATGTCAAAATTGATTGCAAGCTGAAATGCGGTCCGAAAGCAGTCCCCCACAGAGAATTTGTCTGCATTCCAAATTCCGTATACGGGTAGCAAGTCCCTAGTTGATTGCATCTGGTTTGATTTTAAGCTAGACTACTCTGGATATCCTTTCATTTGCCCATAAGAGCGACAGGCTGCGACGTGGCCAACTGCCATCCCACACTATTGCCAAATACAGAAGTACGGAGGGCCCTATGCCAACCACGGATATCACACCAGGACGAGACAGTCCGAGTTTTGGCCATTCCAGCACAGAATGCAGAGTCAGACAACAGGTACCAACTAAGCTTTATTAAGACGGATTACAGAAAATAGACGACGAGAAAGACTAGAAAAAGTCGAGGTCGAAATCGCTTGACGAGTGATGTTAGATTGCCTTTATCTTTGGTTTTACCTACAATAGGACGCCGTCTCTTATATATGAGAAGACAACAACAACGGCGACGCGCAGATCGACATTGCGGGCCAACGGCATCCATGCAAGTAAGTGAAGCGCGCGGGCACTGCGCGGGTGGTTGGGTTGGTTCGGCCTTGAGTAGAGGCACCTGAATAGTGGGTTCTGTTGCTTGTCGGTGGGCGGGGGAATTCTAGTTGGGTTCGCGAGGTCCGTAGGTCAGTAGGAAAGGTGGTTTTATCTCGGCCTCCCGCAGTTGGCGAGGCTTTAGCTGGGAGTCCGTTTTGCCGGGAGTAGCTCTTGGTTGGCAAGAGGTTGCGAGGGGCTTGATCGGCGCCCTTTGTCTTGAGTTCGCCTGATTTACCCTGGTATCCTCGCGAGTCGCCAGATAGCCCGGTGCAGGATACTTACCAACATAACAGCTACCCTACGTGCGAAGGCGTAAAGAACAATGAGCAAGACAGGCATACAGGATGGCGTCAAGAAATCCGCAAGCAAACGAAAGTTGAAGTCAAGACGCGTGGACGGACCCGGAGCCTTCGGACGTGTGGACGGACTACAGCTACATCATAAAGCCGCCGCGGCGGTCCGCTAAGTGCGGCACAAATGCATGACAAGCGGCTGCGGAAGGCAGCGCGCTTAGGAAGCCCGCCGCGGCGGCACGCCGAATCGAAGGCGTTGATTTAGGAGCATATAGACAGCGGCCGCGGGAGGCGGTGTGCTTGTAGAAAAGCCGCTGCGGCGGTCCGCTAAGTGCGGCACAAATGCATGACACGCGGCTGCGGAAGGCAGTGCGCTTAGGAAGCCCGCCGCGGCGGCACGCCGAATTGAAGGCGTTGATTTAGGAGCATATAGACAGCGGCCGCGGGAGGCGGTGTGCTTATAGAAAAGCCGCTGCGGCGGTCCGCTAAGTGCGGCACAAATGCATGACACGCGGCTGCGGAAGGCAGTGCGCATAGGAAGCCCGCCGCGGCGGCACGCCGAATTGAAGGCGTTGATTTAGGAGCATATAGACAGCGGCCGCGGAAGGCGGTGCGCTTATAGAAAAGCCGCTGCGGCGGTCCGCTAAGTGCGGCACAAATGCATGACACGCGGCTGCGGAAGGCAGTGCGCTTAGGAAGCCCGCCGCGGCGGCACGCCGAATTGAAGGTGTTGATTTAGGAGCATATAGACAGCAGCCGCGGGAGGCGGTGTGCTTGTAGAAAAGCCGCCGTGGCGGTCCGCTAAGTGCGGCACAAATGCATGACACGCGGCTGCGGAAGGCAGTGCGCTTAGGAAGCCCGCCGCGGCGGCACGCCGAATTGAAGGTGTTGATTTAGGAGCATATAGACAGCGGCCGCGGGAGGCGGTGCGCTTGTAGAAACACCGCTGCGGCGGTCCGCTAAGTGCGGCTCAAATGCATGACACGCGGCTGCGGAAGGCAGTGCGCTTAGGAAGCCCGCCGTGGCGGCACGCCGAAACTGAAGGCGTTGATTTAGGAGCATTTAGACAGCGGCCGCGGAAGGCGGTGTGCTTGTAGAAAAGCCGCTGTGGCGGTCCGCTAAGTGCGGCATGAAGGACGCTATGAAGTGGGAGCCTGAACACCGGGCAAGGATGCTGGAACTTATATGGTCTCACCGCAACTCTATTGTTCCCTTTGGCCGTAAGTTTACTTCATCACTTATCTCGTTGGAAGTGCGAGGTAGGATGGTGCTTATAGGCGATTTGTCAGCCCTTGAGCCCTCGGCTCGTACTAGGGTGGTTTGCAGGTACGGGGAACGCACCCACGGACATGTAACAACAACAACAAGTGCGGCACAAATGCATGACAAGCGGCTGCGGAAGACAGTGCGCTTAGGGAGCCCGCAGTGGCGGCAAGCCGAACGGAAGGCGTTGATTTAGGAGCATATAGAAGGTGACAGCGGAGGGCGGTCCACTTGTAGAAACACCGCTGCGGCGGTCCGATAGTGCGGCACCAATTGCATGATAAGAGGCTGTAGAAGGCAGCGCACTTAGGAAGCCCGCCAAGGCGGCACACCGAACTGACGGCTTTATGATTTAAGAATGTGTAGACGGCGACCACGGAAGGCGGCCCGCTTGTAGAAAAGCTGCTGCGGCAGTCCTCAGAATACGGCACTAAAATGCCTGACAAGCGACTGCGGAAAACAGCACGATTAAGAAGCCCACCGCGGCGGCACACCGAATGGGAGGCGTTGTGACCTAGGAGGATATAGACAGCGACCGCGGAAGGCGGTGCGCTTGTAGAAAACTGCTGTGGTGGCCCGCAAAGCGCGGCACAGAATGCATGACGAGCGGCGGTGAAAGGCAACGCGATTAGGAAGCCTGCCGTGGCGGCACGCCAAACCGAAGGTGTGGTATGGGAACTTGTAGACAGCGACCACAGAAGGCATCGCGCTTGTAGCAAACCGCTGGGGTGGTCCACTGAGTTCGGTTCACAAGAGGCTGCAGGAGGTAGCGTTCTTGAGTAACCCGCAGTGATGGCTTGCCGGATTACAGGCGTGGCGATTTAGGAGTATGTCAACAACGATCACAGAAGGCGGTGCACTTGTAGAAGGGAGACGGGGAGAGACACGTCTCAGACACGGGACCAGGAGTACCAGACACGAAGCGGGGTACAGAACGAGCCACAGCTATTAGAAGGCCGTTACTGTTCCCCAAAAAACCCCATAAAGGGCCGACCCACTGATGGAGACCATAAGGGTAGTTGCCCGAGTAAGGTGTGGAAAAGCCAGAAATAAACAATCGTATCAAACGCCCTTGCCTGGGAATGTTGTTCAGCTAGGCGGCTGAAGAATGCATTAGCATCTTTCTGTATGAGGAGGGGCGAAGGCCAATACAAACGTCATTGGTTGGCCCATCAGGAAACCAGAGGCAAGGATGCCGTGAGGGGAGAAGGGCGCTACAAAACGTCAAGGCCTGCCCAGGCGCAGGCTACGGGAGTACCAGGGAGGGCCGCTAGACTGCCGGGGCCAGTGAAGGTTACCCTGTTAAAATGCAAGGCACGGCCATAGGAGCAGAGAAAAATTGGCCGAGAACTACCGGAGCAGTCGGCTTCCCCGAGCAGTAGGGAATCGGCGAGTGGCAGTGACGAAGATATGCAACCCGGGCGGACGACCAGGGCCAGGAGGGCGGAATCGGAGGACATACGCCAGGCTAGAGCCGAAGGGTCATCCGCTGCCGGCAGACAAGCGGAAAGGGACATCCGGTCCGAATCCAGGGGCCCGGTCGGGCAACAAGTGGATTGGCGAGCCTTGGGGAAAGACGTTGGCTGCAAAACACGGAGACAAGGCCATGTCACTCAGAGGCACGTTCGAGCCCAACGCGGCCTCAGACCCAGGAGCGATAGTGGCATTACGAATCGGAGGATTTGGGCTCCGAGGACGGCAGTCAACTTTTGTGGGGCGGCGCAAAGAACTTATGGTGATCGGTCTGACGGACGCGCTGGAACAGTTTTTCTGGCGGGTAGGGCAGGATCTCTGCGATGGATACACGAATCACAGGAGGCGAGGCTACGACGTAGACTGACACCCCTTATCGAAGAGATAGCAGAACAACTGGCAGCAGCCTTTCGAACAGCAGCG